TACCCTGAAGAGCCTGTGTGATGGGTGCGTAGGGTCCCTGGTGATTCTGACGGCTTTGCGGCTGAGACGGGTGGAGTACATGTCCTTAATGGTGGGGAGAGAGGGGCTCCACAGATCTTCTCTGCTGCTCTCACGATGCGCTGGAAGCTCCTTCGGCAGGAGGCAGTGCTGGTGCCGTGCCACAGTTTTCCTGTAGTATTACTGTAGTATCCCTGTAGAATCCCTGTAGGATCCCTGTAGTATTACTGTAGTATCCCTGCAGTATTACTGTAGTATTACTGTAGTGAGTGTTTCCTGTTTGTTCAGTCTGAGCTTTTATCAATGATTCACAGACTTCACTCAGATCTGTCTCACATTCTCCTCACTGTACACTGTTCTCTGAAACTGGAGAGATACACACAGCTTTACTGGAGAGAAAACATGTACTGTACACACAACATGTACTGTGTGGCCAGATGCCAGCGAGATTTTCCAGCCTGTGAAAAATCCTGTGAAAATGCCCAAAAAAACGGCCAGAAATTATGAATAAACATTAAAATGACCCTTTATCCGGCTGTCCGATTTTCAAGTTTGTCAATTTTCTATTTCTTCTATAGGAAACACATTTAAGTTTATTTTTGTTATCATAATTTACCTAAATGTGCATCTTTCGTAGTAATGTCAAGTTTATTTATATAGTGCATTTCTGTTTATTTATTTGGTGTGTCTGTGTGTGAGGGTAAGTCTGCACTGCTGAGTGGGATTGAAACACCGCCACTTTCAGCTACAAAAACCCACCGAACCCATTTTTATACTCCCCACTTTATGTTTTACTTTGAACTGTTTTATACTTGGATATTGTTTCAATTCTTCACACAACCTGTTCCATATTTGTACTCCGCTGAAAGAAATACAAAATGTCTTCTTTGTTATTTAACCCCTGTAATTGATAACCCCCATGTCGACCCTTAAAGATGTTTTTTACATTATTTGTGCTGTTTGAAATTTAACTATGTCTCTGACTGAGTATGAGTATGATCCAGATAGCCTGCATTGTGTATTATCCGTATTGCCCTTTTTTTGAGAATAAGTAGTGGTTTTATTGAACTCAAATAAATATTGCCCCAGATCTCTGAACAGTAACTGAAATACGGTAAGACAATGGTACAGTAAATGTTGAGGAGTGACTTAATGTTGACGTACAAAATAAACAATAGAAATTGGGCTCCTTCTCTAAAGCGCAGAGGACGGAGGTTTCCCCCGGTGATCCTCGCTCTCACATCACATCTGAAAGTTTCTCCACGTTACAACACTGCTCCTCCACTGGTCCATGTTCTCCTGCAGTCAGTGAGACAGAAATACGAGTGTCGTCTGCATGGTTGTGATAGGACACATTGTTTCTGCGTATTAACTGACCTAATGGCAGCATGTAGCGATTGAATAGAAGAGGTCCCAGGATCGACCCCTGTGGTACTCCACAGGTCAGGGCCATATGATCTGAGACACAGTTTCCAATCTAACAAGATTAAGATTGAGACTTTGCCTGCGTCAGTGTTCAGCCACATCGTTTTTTACCTTGACGAGAGCCGTTTCAGTGCTGTGGTGGGGTCTAAAGCCGGACTGAAACATATCAAATTGGTAAAAAATGTAGAAAGTTCTTGGTAGATAACATTTGCAAGGACGTTCCCCATAAATGGCAGATTTGAGATGGGACAGTAGTTGTTTAGTATCGTGCCATTCAGACTGCTCTTTGATAGAAGGGGCTTGATGACTGCAGTTTTCAGGGCCTTTGGGAATATTCCAGAATGAGGGGGAATGTTTTATCTGTGTGACTGAAGGTAGGGGCAGACATCTTGGAGCGACTAGAGGGTTTAGTCCTATTTGCTAACAAGCACATCAGCATTAGCATTATGTTTATTAAGCCTTACGATTTGGATATTTAAATTGAGGGCGAAGTAAATCAGTTACGGACCTATCTGCAGCAGAAAACCCATGGTGCTTGTATTTCGAACGGCCTTCCTGATCTGATCCAGTCATAGTCCACATTCTGGGGCCAGACAAGGACATCTGTGGACGAATGAGAGGGCAGGGAGTTTGACACAGGTTTGGGAAACATTCCACTTTGACGACTCTCGTAAACTCTACATCAAAGTCTCCTCAAAAGTCTCTGCACTTTGGATCACACGAGTTCAGAGTCACTTTGCTTCAGCGCTAAAACTTTAGGGCTGTGAAGACTAATAAAAACCTCACACAAACAAACACACCAAATTCTGGTGTCTGGTCTGTATAGTTTTACTTATAGATAACAACAATGAAACTGTTACATCAGAATGTCTTTATAATACCTGTGTCTCCACGCTGATAAGTCAGAACGCTCACATGTCTTTTTCCCTGTCTGGTCTCTCTGATCTCTCACTGGTCTCTCTCTGGTCTCTCTCTCACCTCTCTCTGGTCTCTCTCTGGTCTCTCTCTGGTCTCTCTCTCGCCTCTCTCTGGACTCTCTCTGGTCTCTCTCTCGCCTCTCTCTGGTCTCTCTCTGGGATTTATCTGGTCTCTCTCTGGTCTCTCTCTGGTCTTTATCTGGTCTCTCTCTCGCCTCTCTCTGGTCTCTCTCTCGCCTCTCTCTGGTCTCTCTCTGGTCTCTCTCTCTGGTCTCTCTCTGGTCTCTCTCTCGCCTCTCTCTGGTCTCTCTCTGGTCCCTCTCTGGTCCCTCTCTGGTCCCTCTCTGGTCCCTCTCTGGTCTCCCTCTGGTCTCTCTCTCGCCTCTCTCTGGTGTCTCTCTGGTCTCTCTCTGGTCTTTATCCGGTCTCTCTCTCTGGTCTCTCTCTCGCCTTTCTCTGGTGTCTCTCTGGTCTCTCTCTGGTCTCTCTCTGGTCCCTCTCTGGTCCCTCTCTGGTCTCCCTCTGGTCTCTCTCTCTGGTCTCTCTGGTCTCTCTCTCAACTCTCTCTAGTCTCTCTCTGGTCTCTATCTAGCAGACGATAGAATGTTATGTCTTCTTCAAATGTTTCTGTTTGTAGTGTTTTGGTCAACGACACATTAGCAGCAATTACACATCAGGAGTTATTGTTCTGACAGCGGCTGGTTTTACATCCTGCGGTTTAAGTGTTAAAATTCAAAAGGTGAAAATAATTAGTGCACAATGAGTGGAAAATCAGATAAGTGGTATTTTTGAATTGAGTCAGAAAAGTAGATTGTAGGTTGAAATAAAGCTGTAGATCCAGGACTGAGGCTGTATATCCAGGAATGAGGCTGTGGATCCAGGACTGAGGCTGTAGATCCAGGACTGAGGCTATATATCCAGGACTGAGGCTGTGGATCCAGGACTGAGGCTATATATCCAGGACTGAGGCTGTGGATCCAGGACTGAGGCTGTAGATCCAGGACTGAGGCTATATATCCAGGACTGAGGCTGTAGATCCAGGACTGAGGCTGTAGATCCAGGACTGAGGCTGTAGATCCAGGACTGAGGCTGTAGATCCAGGACTGAGGCTGTAGATCCAGGACTGAGGCTGTAGATCCAGGCCAGTCTCTGTGCTCCTCAGCGTTCCAGGCGACCCTGTCTGTCCCATTCTCATGTCTTTAATTGAAATCATGCTTCTTCACACTGGCATCTGAACAATGCACAAACACCATGTGACGCTGCTGCTCACACATGGTCCTGGCTCTTATTCAACAGTGCAGACGCTGAAGGTCAGAAATGAGATTACAGGCGACAACACTGCTGACTGTTAGAGCGTCGGGAGCAGGGAAACCATGTACAAGCATCTCTCACATTATGCTTCTCCATCAGGGAAAGTTTAAATCTCAAAATCACAAGAATTTGTCTTTTTGAGCAGTTACCCATGTAGAGAAAATGCACTAGATCCAGGACTGAGGCTGTAGATCCAGGACTGAGGCTGTAGATTCAGGACTGAGGCTGTAGATCCAGGACGGAGGCAGTACTTTTCCAAGCCACTTTAATTTTGGTTAAATGCAACAACACAACCGGAGACTGGTGCTCAGTTCCGTCATCCCCCTCTGCTTGTTTGTGCAGTAACCCACCTCCTCCCCGTCAATGCCTCTTCAGTTAAAATCCCTTCAGCAGATGTCATGCAATATTCCTGCTGTGGTCATTTCATGTCTCGAATGTAATAAATGCACATGTTCAAAAACTTGTTTGTGCCAGGACTAAACCAGGACTGAACCGGGACTAGACCAGGACTGAATCAGGATAGAACCAGGATTAAATAGGGGACAGTACTTGTGGAGTTCTTGTTCACGTTTGTGACTGGACACAAGTGCTGCTAACGGAAGTACTGGTTCATTCTAGTAGCTTACCTTAGCAACTTTAGCAACTCCATCTTGCCCCTGTTATGGTTATGGCACAAAGCTAACACTGTCAGGACGCCCATATAAGGAAATCTTCTCCAGCTAGCTTATGTTCAAAGCAGCCTCTTCAATATTAAGGCTATGGTGATGTCGCACTCTGTCAGTCCACTCCTCATATAGTTTCTAAGTTTGTAAATGTGTTTGATAACATATTATTCTTTATTATTGGGTTGAATGGATGAAGCTGAGGCTGTCTAATGTAAAGTGTGACAGGGCCAGAGATGAGAGGCTCTTTGTGATCTCACATTGTGTCACAAACAAAACAAAAGCGCTTTCGTTTACACAGAGCAGAGAGGACAGCTGTACGGTGGTCACAAAGGGACAAACACAATGCAGCTACTTCACAACTCAAACGCTCATCCTCTTCCACATGTCCAACACTTTAGTGCAATCCAACTTCCAGAAGGAAACTCAAGGAATCGTCCAATCAGGAAACGTTTTGTTCAACTTATCAATGTGAAGAGACTCAAACAGTTATTTTCTAATAAATAAAAAAAAGAAAGAAAAAGAAACAGGTAGTTGGGCCAAAAGAATAGTTATCTCCTTCTGTTATAATAGTTTTTTACATTATGAAGGTTAAACTGGTATATTTAAAGAAAACATTTCCTCGTCCTCAGTGCTCGACGGCGGCGTGTGAAGCTCAAGTATGACCATGGAGGAGTTTCTTCATCTTCCTCTGAATGTTTACATCATCATCGTCGGCATTGGGCTGTTTGTGCTGCTGCCCTGCCTGGTCTTCTGCTGCTGCTTCATCAGGTAACCAGCCCAATACTCCTAGCAACCGTATAGCAACCAAACAGCCAATGAGGAGTGAGGCTGGTCCGGTCTCAGAATTTGCATGTTAAGCCTTGTTTGTGCTGTCATAGACTGTATGAAACGAGAGGACATAGTGAAGGCTCTGTGAGATTTCATAACACTTTTAAGCAACTTTTGTTAAAGTTAAACTCATCATTCTATCAATGTGCAGAAGCCAGTACTTTTCCCTTGTTTTGTCTATCTGAAGGCCAAGCTACAAGCACACCGTGGAAGCTGCTGATTGGAGGTCTCCATGCCTCCGCTCTGTATAATACACTTGCATTCTATTGTATCTGTGATCGTGTGCTTTGTTCGCGCTGTCTCTACCATCGACAATAAAACATGTCTTCTGTCGGAATTTAAGACACGATCCCAGACTTAGTCATCTTCTTCAGCTCCATGGGTGGTAATCTGAGGCCAATCGTAGAAATCGCATGGCAACCAAACAGCCAATCAGGAGGGGCGCAGGTCTGTTATCTCAATAATCACAGGATAAAGCCTTGTCTGGGGATAGAAGGGCCTTGATTAGTTGATTTTTTTTAAAGGGAGCAGCTTGAGGGCTGAGAGGTTAGCACTCTGTTCTCTCTGTGTTTGCATAGGTTTCCTCCGGGTTCTCCGGTTGTCTCTGGTCTCCCTCTGGTCTCACTCTAGTCCAGGCATGTCAAAGTCAAATACATCAGAGGGCCAAAAAAAAATGTTTGCTACGCGCCGAGGGCTGGACTGGTTCAATGTTTCTCAACATCCAGAGGCAGTGCCGGTGACACCTGTTGGCTCGATAAAATATGCTCTAAAGCCAATCCTCATACTGTACATATTAGATGTAATAGACATCTAAGAACGTGAAAATAGTAATTAAAAAAAAAAGCTCAAACTTGGTGAAATGTAAAAGAGCAGTCTGGACCTCTTTGGGGTGTTTTTTGATTAAATCTGCAGAATGGATTATACTTTGGGAAATACAAGTGGATATTCTTCTTCAATGAACAGTTACGGAGAGAAAGCGACTAAGCAAGGATGGGGAAAGTCTAATTTGTTGGAGCAGCAGAAGATGAAAGGTAAAAAACAAATACAGACGTGATTTATTTTGTGCCCATATTATGCGTTATATATTTTTAATGCAAATTCTGATATCGCTTACACTTATAAATATAGCTGAGAAAATAAGCTTTCAAATGATATATAGCTTGTGGCTTATGAAGTTCAAAATACATCTGCTATTGCCAGCAGATATATTTTTTTCCTCGTTTGCTCCTGCCGGCGGGGGCTAGCGAGGTTAAGGGGTCAATGCATTGCCTCAATGGCAGGCAATGTCCCGGGGGCCATAGATAATTCATTCGCGGGCCAAATTCGGCCCGCGGGCCTTGACTTTGACACATGTGCTCTAGTCTCACTCTGGTCTCTTATATTGAAAAATGAACCGCTCTAGCTCAGTAACTGTTGGTGTCACACTTCTTGGGGAAATCTGTTTTTTGGCGCTCTCGCTGATCCTGGTGTTTCTTGTGAATAAATATTTTATAAGATCATGTTATTGTTCAGATCTAGAGGCTGAAGTCTCTGTCACATGTTGAAAAATTTGCTCAGTTCTGTGGTTTGTGTTGATGCATGACAACAGCAGAGAAAAGGTACACAAACCTCTAGGACAAACTCACGTCACACCAGGGACAATACCAGACAGACCAGAAAGAGACCAGAGAGAGACCAGAGAGAGAGACCAGAGAGTGAGACCAGAGAAGGACCAGGGAGAGAGACTCTAGAGAAACCAGAGAGACAGACCAGAGTGAGAACAGAGAGATAGACCAGAGAGAGACCAGAGAGAAAACTGAGAGAGAGACCAGAGAGAGACTAGAAAGAGAGAGACTAGAGATAAACTACAGAAAGATAGACTAGAGAGAGAGACCAGAGAAATAGACTTGAGATAGAGACCAGTGAGAGAGACGGGAGAGAGAGCAGAGAGAGTCAGATCAGAAGAGAGATGAGAGAGTGTTGTCTCTTTGATAAAATAAAATAAAAACTCGTAGAGCACAGGCCTCCGCCAAGAGGCACAGCTTCATTCCTATTGACGTTTGTGTAGACGGCTGTGTTTCTGCTTCTCGACACCTGTATCTCTCTCGCAGGGATTGATAAAGTAGTTTCTATCTTTAAAAAAGTGTAATCTGTTCCATTCACTGGGCCAGGGTTTTTGCAGACAGCCAAACAGACAAACGGCGGCGATCACTTTACCCCCTGATCATGGTTTAAGTTTTATGTTTGTTTTTCCAGAGTGCGACGAGAAGCAGCACGACAGTATGTTTATAATAAGGTAAGAACATGTTTTTACTTAAAGCTGGGGTATGTAGGCCAAGCATGCAGTTTATTTATACAGCACAGTTCAGACACAAGGCAACTCAAAGACAAAGACATCATGAATATTCACAGAGCATTAAAATAGTAAAGATACAATCCCTCAGTTGTTGCACAGCTAAACAGAACTATTTTTAACCTGGATATGAACATCTTGGTGAAGAAGCCTGTCTCACATTTTCAGGAAGACTGTTCCAGATTTTAGCGGCATGAATCTGAAACGCTGCCTCCACATATATAGTCCTGACTGTGCACCAGCAGGAGTCCCAGGAGGAGGCCAGTCCCTGTGCTCAGTTGGTTCATATGGTACTAACGTGTCACAGATGTACTTTGTTGCGAGTCCATGGAGAGACTTGCAGCAAGCAGAGACCTGAGACCAGGACTAATGTGAGAGGACTTCAGGACAGAGACTTGAGACCAGGACTAATGTGATGGTTCTGATCAGGACTGTTTCAAACCACAAACAAATGGACATATAAAGTAGAATCCAAGTCACTAGTTCCTGGCTCTAAAACAGTTGCTTCTATCTCTAGTTTTCATGTCTTTCTGGTCTCTGCCACATTTTTAAATCATCTTTTTCAAACAAAAAAGTGAAAAAGAGATGAAAATGCAGGGTGTGGTCTGATTTGTTCACAACATTTTACTTTTAAAAGACTCTTTCTGTCGGGTCAAACTACTTGTGTTAATGAGTTGCGTTGGACCAAATCTTTCTGTTTCTTGTCTTCAGGTGGTTTTAAAAGGAGCAGGGAAGAAGATGGGCCTCTTGGGAGTAAGTGTAATACTATCTAATACTATAATAATATTGAGCGTTCTTAAAGAGACCCTGTGTTGTAAAGGCTGTGTTAATCCATAACAACAGTGGGAAAGGTTGGCGTGTTGTTATGACTTGTGTTGTAGAGAGACCAGAGAGATACCAGAGGGAGACTATAGAGAGACCAGAAACCAGAGAGAGGGACCAGAGAGAGAGACCAGAGAGAAAAACCAGGGAAAGAGACCAGAGAGAGAAGCCAGGGAAAGAGACCTGAGGAAGACCCGAGAGAGAGACCAGAGAGAGAAACCAGGGAGAGAGACTTGAGAAAGAGCAGAGAGAAACCAGAGAGAGACGGGAAACAGAAAGAGACCAGAAACCAGAGAATGAGAGAGAGAGAGAGAGAAGAGAGAGACAGAGACAGAGACAGAGAGAGGGCAGGAGGACTACACTAGATCCAACCACAGAACATGCAAACTCCACTCAGAAAGGCCATGTTCTGACACTTTGAACCCAGAACCTTCTACTGAGAAGCAAGTGTTAACCACTCAGCAACTGTGATGCCCTGGGGGTTTAGGTCTGAGCTGCAGCTGTGGTTTATGTCTTGATTATACCGACAGTCATATTTTTGCAGTGTTAAACAGATTATCTGAGGTCAATCCATTTAAAAACACATAAAACGGTCACTTCTTAGCCAACGTTCAGACGCACAAGTCATAGCTTTTGTTTCTGTAATCTTCTGCTCGGAGATAAGAGCAGCTGCAAATTAGCGCTGCACATTAGAGGTACGGAAACTGTTAAATCACAGCCATGAAGAGTGTGTGATTTATTCAGTTGTGGGTTTGAACAGAATCCGTGTGGAAGAGGAACGGAAGAGGAACGGAGAGAAGCCAGTGATTAAAATAACAGACCAACTTAGGACCAGAGAGAGACCTGATAGAGACTAGAGAGAAAGCCCAAAGCGAGACCAGGGAGAGACCAGAGAGAGAATAGAGAGGGACCAGAGAGGGACTAGAGAAAGACCAGAGAGAGAGACCAGGGAGGGATTGGAAAGAGAGCTATGTCTCAAAGACCAACCCAGGACCAGAGAAAGAACAGGGAGAGACCTGATAGAGACTAGAGAGAAAGACCAGAGTGAGACTAGAGAGAGATCAGAGAGAGACCAAAGAGACCAGAGAGAGACCAAATAGAGACCCATTCATTTTCTTGATGTTTATAGAGAGCTGAATCCAACATATTGGAGCCTGGCTAAACCCTCTCCTTCCTACTGTACAATTTGATACTGTACTGAAAGAGTACAGTATCATTATTGGCAGGATAGAGCAATAGTATCTTACAGCTCCTGTTTCTGTGTTTCTGTGTGTGTGTTTTTTACGACGTTACAAAATCAGGAGTAAACAGGTTTGATAACACTGTTTCTCTCACAGTCATTAAATCTTGGCTGAATGTTTGATTTGTCTCTTTTGCAGCAAACATGTGCAGTGTGTCTGGAAGAGTTCAGGACCAAGGACGAGCTGGGCGTCTGTCCCTGCTCTCACGCCTTCCACAAGAAGTAAAGAAATACTATTAATATTATGTGTGGTGGGGGGAGACGGGGAGAGATGGGGAGAGACGAGGAGAAGGTGCTCTATGGGTCAAGTTGTAGAATTGTTTTTCAGAATTTCTGCAAATACTGGTCTATGTGAAAGAATAATATGTTTTTGAATATTGTCACCACGTCTAGACACCTTTTTGAGAGAATACATAGACCACAGTTGATAGAGAGACCAGAGAGACCAGAGAGGGAGAGTTGAGAGAGAGCAGTGAGACACCAGAGAGAGAGCAGAGAGAGCAGAGAGGGAGACTAGAGAGAGACCAGAGAGGGAGAGTAGAGAGAGAGCAGAGAGAGCAGAAAGAGAGACCAGAGAGAACAGAGAGGGAGACCAGAGAGAGAGCAGAGAGAACAGAGAGGGAGACCAGAGAGAGAGCAGAGAGAGCAGAGAGGGAGACCAGAGAGAGAGCAGAGAGAGCAGAGAGAGCAGAGAGGGAGACCAGAGACAGAGCAGAGCGAGCAGATAGCGAGATCAGAGTGCGACTAGAGAGGGAGACCAAAGAGAGAATAGAGAGACCAGAGAAAGAATAGAGAGACCAGTGAGAGACCAGAGAAAGAGAGCAGAGAGAGACCAGGTTTAGTTTGCAGATAACATTCGTAGAGTGTCTATTACGAGTGGATGGAGTGTGACATCACCATAGTGTTAGCCTTAATGCTGAAGAAGCTGCTTTGAAAATAAGCTAGCTAGAGCCAATATCCTTATATGGGCATTTGTTCCGACGGTGTTAGCTTTGTGCTGTCACAGGGGCAGATGTGTTGCTAAGACGGTTGCTAAGGCAAGCTAGAGTCTCCCCTGCGAATGAAGGCTGATTAGGCAATCCTTATATGGCGCTACCTGGATTTACAAAAAAAATATCACAATATAAACACCAGGATCACAGGGAGCAATAAACCTCTAATTTTTTAAGCCCAAAATGGTGAGTGTGACACAAACGGTTACTGAGCTGGAGTTCACTTTTACGTAAGTCAATAATAATACTTTGCTCATGAGCACTTCCCTGTAGGGCTTCATTGAGCTACCTTGGTTAGCATTGTTCTGTTTTAGAGTGTATGTGTTTGCAGGCTGTGTCTAAAGGCACATTCCTCCTCTGCAGCGTGTCGAGTCGTGTTCTGGCCTCAGGTGCAGGTGTGACTCCACGCTTCACACAGGAGCAGGGCCACAGCCAGCTCACTGGGGGCCCTGGAGACTCTGGTTCTGGGGCCCCTCTCTCAGGAGCTTTGTCTTTGCATCTTTGAATGTCAATAAAACTATAGTAGTATGATCGTCAGATTGTGACGATTGGGCTTGTAAGATTGTGAAGGACTCCTCTCACCCTGCACACAGACTCTTTAGCAAAGATCATTTAAGGCCATAACTTGGGCCATGCATAGAGGGATACCAGTGAGAGACCAGAGAGAGACCAGAGAGAGACAGAGAGAGACCAGAGAGAGACAGAGAGAGACCAGAGAGAGACCAGAGAGAGACAAAGAGAGACCAGAGAGAGACCAGAGAGAGACCAGAGAGAGACCAGAGAGAGACAAAGAGAGACCAGAGAGACCAAACAGAGACCAGTGAGAGACCAGAGAGAGACCAGAGAGAGACAGAGAGAAACCAGAGAGACCAGAGAGAGACAGAGAGAGACAGAGAGAGACCAGAGAGACCAAACAGAGACCAGTGAGAGACCAGAGAGAGACCAGAGAGAGACAGAGAGAGACCAGAGAGAGACCAGAGAGAGACCAGTGAGAGACCATTTAAAGAGGGGAGAGACCAGGTTTAGTTCGCAGGTATAGTCCTCTACATATGGGACAGAACACAGACTAATGGTTGTGTGTTTTCAGATGCCTTCTGAAGTGGCTGGAAATCAGAAGCGTCTGTCCCATGTGCAACAAACCAGTGTGTCGCCTGCAAAAGGACCCACCCCCCGACCCGGAGCAGGGCTAGAGTGCCCCATAGTTTTGAGACTGTCCCCTGCAGTGACCACAGTGTCTCACATGGTTATCTACCAGCTGCACACATGGTTATCTACCAGCTACACACATGTCCATGTCGTACTGAGCCGTAAACTCTCAGATGTTCAATGCATTTGTGTTGTTCCTCTCTAAATTCAATTCAATGTATTTCGGTCCAGCCCTAAATCACAACAGTGGTTTTCTCGGAGGACTTTACAAAGTTGTAGTTTTGCCAACACAGATTAGAGAATCAAAAGGTTCTCTGCTCGCTCTCTCTTGTCTTTCCCTGCTCTCTTTCTGGTTTCTGTCTCTCTCTCTCTGCTCTCTCTCCATCTGGTCTCTCTTTGGTCTCTTCTCTCTGGTTTCTGATCTTTCCACTTTCAACCCTGGTTTCACCAATGTGCGTAAGTATTTTTCCGGTTAGTCCTGAGTTTGTTTTCTGTGGGAATGAGCTCAAACCCCAAAGAGTAGGAGGCTTTTCCTTTCGGATTTGACTTGAATGAGGAAACATTTTACATGGACTGACTTCAAACAGAGAATGACTCTGTGGGGGTTTTATTAATCTATGTTCTTCATGACTTGTGTGGCAGCGATGATCTGGCGGACACAGACTGATGATGTCATCAGTCCAGGACACAGAGCAGTGATGTCATCGTGTTAAAAAAGTTCAGTATTTGATGTAAAAAGATTGACCTTCATTCACAGGCGAAACTCAGCAAATGCCTCCAGAACAAGCGCCCATGTAACGAAATTGGCTCCAGCTTATGTTCAAATCGACTTCTTCACACTGTGGTGATGTCACACTCCGTCAGCTGCTGTTACGTCTTCACCAAAGTTAACCCCCTGTGGGATTCCTCTAGTTGTTTTTCCACGTTTTGTCTTTCTGCCACAGCCTTAAAACCAAAGCTAGTCTCTTTATTAACGCCTCAACTCTGCCTCCAAAATCTCTGCCCGAGTCGCTCTGCTCCAGCATCCGCAGATTACAGACCGGAAAAACCACATCTGCAGCCAAAAGATATGGTGACGAGGACTTTATGGTTCCTTGATATCAAATATACTCAGTGGGAGCCAAACACATGAAGTGGTCTCTAGTCTTCTTCTCTTGCTTCTGTGAGGATGGGACTGGACTGGACGGACTGCAGGAACTGAATGTGCAGATTGTAAGTTATTTCTAATGTTTTGTACCTAACTGGTTTCAATAAAGACGTAATCATGTTTGGGTGTGTCGAGATCTCATAAGCCAAAAATCTTGGGTGTATCTGATCAAAAGGTGCATTTTTGCAAACATTATTCCACAGAAACGTTCGGTAATGACTGAAGCTGAAGAAACATATAGTAACAGTTAAACATTGTAACAGTTAAAGCAGCAAAACATCAACCATTATGTCGAGTCATCATTAATGGCCCTAATGTTTCAAGAGGCATTAATAAAACATGCTCTTTTGCACTTTTGGAAACCCTAACTCTGAACAGTGATTCAGAGATATTTGACTTTCAAAATTAGTTTTACAGCCCGTAAATCTTGTCACTGTTTTCATTTTTATGTCCCGCCCTCCATCGTTTCACCCTATCAGAAAGTCTGTGATCCGGGTTGCCAGAACTCACCGCATCGAGCTAATCTCACTGGTAAAGTACCATGTGGCGCAGACCTAAAAAAGGTCTAGTTATGATTCTCAAATCATTAACGACAAAACAAGGAATAAAACCAGGATTTCTATCTTTGTGAAAATGGTGTTGGTTATAGATTTGTTGTTGACAAAACTCTTGTCTATTCAGCTGTTATGGTCCCAGCTGGATTCGTCTTCATATCTGGCAACCTGAGTCAGGGAGAGTGGGAGAGGCTGCAGTACCACTTTTGGTCAGATATTTACATACTGCTCCTTTAAATGCACTTTATATGTGTGGAACCAAAAGCTCTATCAACCTCATAAGCTACATGTAGTTTGTTTATGTATCAATCAATCCATCTTTATTTGTAGAGCACTTTATCTACTCAGGGCTAACACAAAAAACATCACAATCACGTCACACGAGGCACAAATAATCAACAATGTAATTAAAAACATTAAAATCACACAAAGGTTAAAGATGAGGATGATGAAGGATGCAGTCTTTTCTCACGTCTCTGGTCTTCGTCTACTTTCTCTTCTCTCTCTGGTCTCTCTCTCTAGTCTCTCTCTGTTGTCTCTCTGGTGTCTCTCTGGTCTCTCTCTCTCTAGTCTCTCTCTGTTCTCTTTCTGGTTTCTCTCTCTTGTCCCTCTGTCCGGTCTCTCTCTTTGGTCTCACTCATTGGTCTCTCTCTGGTCTCTCTCTGGTCTCTCTCTGGTCTCTCTCTCTTGTCCTCACTTTCACCTCAAGTCACAGATGAGGATGAGGACAATAAATGAAGTTTTTTCTTTTGATTGAAGTCTCCCTCAAACACCCTCAGCCCCTGTGCGTCAGCTGAGAGAGACCCTCCCTCAGTTTCCATCTCTGTTGGCTCCTATAATTATCCTTATCTTCTGGCTCCACTGCTCTTTCAAAACAGTGTTGGGAGCTGACCACAACGAGCCTCCTCCTCCTCAGACCGTCAGTAAATACTGCCACCACTTCACACAAGCAGAAGATAAGAACTGGGAAAAAACAACTTCTTCCCGGACGCCTCCAAAGACAGGTCTAAATTTGAGTCATGAAAACAGAATCCAGGGATGACGAATGAAAGCAGAACAAGACCCAAAACAAAACGCTGCGGTCAGAAAACATTGCGCGGTTTCCCTAAAGTTTTTGTTTTTCCCGGAGATGGGATTATCCAGGAAAAGACGAGGTTAGTCAGGGATTTTTAAATAAAGACACAACACACAACTTTAGTAACAATATGTCCTTGTATCTGAGTGTGTGCGAGAGACCAGAGAGAGCCTAGAGAGAGACCAGAGAGAGAGACACCAGAGAGAGAGAAACCAAAGAGGGAACAGAGAGAGACCAAAGAGAGACCAGAGAGAGACAAGAGAGAGAGCAGAGAGAGAGACGAGAGAGATCAGCGAGACAGACCAATACTAGTGAAATGAATTAGTTACTAGATGACCCCACGACATTAAAACAGGTTCAAAGTGGTTAGCAGCGCTTCTAAGTTCAGACCATTCGGCTCCAGTTCTACATGTTTTTTTCTGTTGCCAGACTTTCTTCCAGTCTCTTCCAAACATTTCTACAACTGCACTTTACCAGTCAATAAAGTCAATTATTCAATTATTCAACACAATTGTATCTTACTTCTGGTACTTTTATACCTTTAGTTAAAGCTACCCCAGCTTTAACTAAAGGTATAAAAGTACCAGATGTTGGGACAAACATTTTTTTGTCGTTTGTCCCAACAGTTTGTCTTGTAAAACTGAAATCAGTACCATTTATTTGGATTAGAAAAAATGCTATCTTTTGTGTATGATAGAGCCTTGTGGTCATTATTTGACTTTGGGTTGAGAGTTGATTGGCTGAGTGAGGGTGGTCCTCTCTTTGTCACTTTTCTGTTTGAAAAAGCTGATCTAAGGATGTGACAGAAACTAGAAATACATGATATGAAAACTAGCAATAGAGTAATTTTTGTGGGTTTAAAATCAGGAACTCCAGCTTTAGGAAATGACTGAAATACTTTTACAAGCCGTCTCGTACTTTTGCCTCCTCTCTTTGCAGAAACACATCACACACATTTAAACTGATTAGACCGTGGCGCCTCTTAGTGGACAAACCCTGAAACTACCGGGGATTCGAGCAGAAAAAAGTAATTAGCTAAAGAATTTAACTCAACGTTACATGCCATTTCTGCCTCTGTATGTTTGTGTTTTATTCAGAAAGTGTGATTCCTGAAGCCGGAATAGGAATCTATGTGAAAAATGTAAAATATTTTAGTGTTTGCCTCAAAAATGTGTGAAAGAATAACTTCTATCTTTACAACGTTTTATAAAGCTCACTAGCAAGGTAACAGAAAGAGAGAGAGACCAGAGAGGGAGAGAGAAAGAGAGAGAGAGAGGAGAGAGAGAGGGATAGAGAGAGAGAGCTAACAGAGAGACCAGAGAGGGAGAGAAAGAGAGTGAGAGAGAGGATAGAGAGAGCTAACAGAGAGACCAGAGAGGGAGAGAAAGAGAGTGAGAGAGAGGGATAGAGAGAGAGCTAACAGAGAGACCAGAGAGGGAGAGAAAGAGAGGGAGAGAGAGGGATAGAGAGAGAGAGCTAACAGAGAAGCTAGAGAGGGAGAGAAAGAGAGTGAGAGAGGGATAGAGAGAGAGCTAACAGAGAGACCAGAGAGGGAGAGAAAGAGAGGGAGAGAGAGGGATAGAGAGAGAGAGCTAACAGAGAAGCTAGAGAGGGAGAGAATGAGAGTGAGAGAGAGGGATAGAGAGAGAGCTAACAGAGAGACCCGAGAGGGAGAGAAAGAGAGGGAGAGAGAGGGATAGAGAGAGAGAGCTAACAGAGAGACCAGAGAGGGAGAGAAAGAGAGGGAGAGAGAGGGATAGAGAGAGCTAACAGAGAGACCAGAGAGGGAGAGAAAGAGAGTGAGAGAGAGGGATAGAGAGAGAGCTAACAGAGAGACCAGAGAGGGAGAGAAAGAGAGGGAGAGAGAGGGATAGAGAGAGAGAGCTAACAGAGAAGCTAGAGAGGGAGAGAATGAGAGTGAGAGAGAGGGATAGAAGAGAGAGCTAACAGAGAGACCAGAGAGGGAGAGAAAGAGAGGGAGAGAGAGGGATAGAGAGAGAGAGCTACAGAGAGACCAGAGAGGGAGAGAAAGAGAGGGAGAGAGAGGGATAGAGAGAGAGCTAACAGAGAGACCAGAGAGGGAGAGAAAGAGAGGGAGAGAGAGGGATAGAGAGAGAGAGCTAACAGAGAGACCAGAGAGGGAGAGAAAGAGAGGGAGAGAGAGGGATAGAGAGAGAGAGCTAACAGAGAGACCAGAGAGGGAGAGAAAGAGAGGGAGAGAGAGGGATAGAGAGAGAGAGCTAACAGAGAGACCAGAGAGGGAGAGAA